GCGGCTTGCCGTTGGCGGCAATTGCACTGCATCATGGGATTTGTAGTGTGTGTTATTGGGGCGTCATATCACAGGGCCATTAAAAACAGATATATAAAACGATTTCGCGGGCCGGATATAATTGTATGGCGGGCCGGATGTGGCCCGCGGGCCTTGAGTTTGACACATGTGTTCTAGGTGGAGCATGAAATGGAAAGAGAATCAGGAATATGAGGATTCCTAATTTCCTTTTCCAAACCATGCATATAATCTTCCCTCCTTCCACTTTTTTTTTTTTTGGTCCCTCTATTTCTCACCTCACTTGGCAAGTTGTAATGAACACAGCATATGTCCATAACTGTACATGAAAGTGCAGTCTCTCTCTCTCTCTCACACACACACGAGTAAGATCTAGATCTATATATTTTAAACTTATGTGAGATCTACAGGGATGGACTGATCAGAAAAAAAAATGCTTCTTTCAATGCGAGTTTTGTATCTTTACTGCCTCTCACTGGTTATCAGAGGATTTGAAGGATTCAGTGCTGATGCAGCTATCTGAACTTATTTAAATATTTGACGTTGAATTATGAGACACTGTGTTAACATATCCGCCCTGGAATAATTTAACTTCAAATATTTTAAAAAGTTAAATTTATCTAACTTGTAGACTTAAGACTATGAACATAACTAAAAAGTCCATGGTTATTTTTTCCCTCCACTCTGTGGCTCCAACAACAGAGGTAAAGCACATTGCTTGTCTAGTCTTTTTTATTTATTTTTAATCACACCCATAAAGATAAATGTACTGATTGTGCTAGATTGACAACCATGGAAACTCAATTCCTTGTTAATACTTCAGGCTAATTTAAGTTAGTGAAATAGTAAAACAGTCATTTTAGTATGCAGATGGGAGGTCATGTTGGTGGCCTGTGATATACAGGAAGTCAGACCAGATAATCTGGTGGTCCCTTTTGGCCCAAAACTCTATAACTCTATTTACAGAGCTGTCCAACCAAGATGCCTCTGCTCTGGATGCAGAGGGACCACCTCTGGGGTCTGGAGGGTAGCATTACCTCCATATTCATTTATTCCTTAGCCTCTCCACTGAGACAGACTGCCATACATTGTTGCCAATTAGTCACCATCATGTTTTTTTGTGATGTGAATTTTTGCCCACTGGGAGCTGGACTGCTACAAAACTCCTCTATCCAGGCCACTGCCCAGCAATTAAATGGAAACAACTTTTAGTCATTTTTACCTAGGATAAATTTGAACCAGTGTCCTAGAGGTGAAATGTTCCTAGATACCTGTCAGGCATCCAGTGCCTGCCCCATACCCTTGGCAGCTTTATAATGTATTAAACTTATATTGTGAGATTTGTGTGTCAGCATCAGACCCAAGGAAGGGGTAACAAAAGTGCAGTAAATGGATCTTTGTTGTTATTCAGAAATTGCCATGACCAATTATCAACTGCAATTTATTACTATTTAAAATCAGTAGGGGCACGATTGGAGCTGTTCTTTTCTTAATTGATCTTGAGTGGTCTTATTGGTTTAGAGGGTTTTTCGGGGGCAGGGGGCCTGACTAATTTATTTTGAAGCAATAGGCTCTCCTTCTGCGTGTTTTACAAGACTGCAAATGTACGTTAGCATCATTCTCTCTCTATTCTCTTACAGTACTTAGTACCCTGTATCAATTTGCCTCCTATTTAAACTCCCATTATCTTGATGCACACTGTTATACCAAAGGGTTACAACTCCAGCATGACTAGCAAATCCCCTGCAATGCACAGCTAGAACGTTGTTCACATGGCTTTTGCTGACTCAGTGAAGCCAATTAAAATCCTATCCCCTGCAGGATTTCCAGTATCTTCACTTATTCTTCTATTTAGACCTAGAAACTCACTTCCATTGCTTCACAGTTCCTGACTTGGAAGTTAAGATTAAGTCTTAAAGAAATGAAGCAGCTTTTAATGTCTAGCCCCACCGTCCCTCATCTCTTGCAATATTGACATGAGACATTCAAGATTTTTCTTTAAAACAGTTGGTAAGATAAATGCCATCATAAAATGAGTGTCTTATTTTCCTCGATTATTCCTATCTGTTAGTGTTGTTTGAAATCCAGCAGATTGAATAGCAAAGACATTTAAAATTCAGGAACTGGAAATGTTGTGTCACTTATTATTTCTATAGCACGGCCTGTATATACAGCATAAGTTTAGAAACTTCCTCAGGACTACTCCCTAGCATAAGGACTCGTATGCTCTGACTTCAGGACTACTGAGAGTCAATCTACTGAGAAGCATTAACAGAATCCTTAAAGGATGTCATGCATCTCATCTCATTTCAAGGCAAATTGTCATAATGACAGGCAGATGACAGATGTCGTGGCAAGGAAGGAAACTATCAGCACTTGAGAAATATAAA